TACAGCATGGTACTCTCTGCCTTTCCAAACACGAACGAAAGAAATAAAATAGCACTGAGCTGCTTCTCCAGAACTAGAAAGGTAAACAATGCAGCTGCTTTTACAGAACTGAAAAGGGAAAAGGAAAAAAAAACGTCTAATTGAATTTTCGAAAGAAGAAAAAAAAAAAATTGCGTTCAGCCACATTTTGCAATGGAGGAGAGGAGGAGGAGGAGGAGGAGAAGGAGAGGTGGAGGGCGTGGAGGTGATCAGCAGACCGCGTTCCAAGTTCCAAAATGACAAAAATAAACACGGAGGTGGAGGCTAGAGACATCGAGGTAGAGAAGTAGTAGCAATCGATGAGGAGTTGGCGTTGAAAAAAAAAAATAAAAAAAAATGACGAGGCCATGGAGAAGGAGAGATGGAGGAGGAGGAGGAGGTTACGTGGAGGAGAGATGGAGGAGTACATGACGAGGAGGGGGAGGAGGTGGCGAGGAGGTCACAAGGAGGAGACAGGGAGGAGGAGGAGGAGGTGAGGAGGTTATGAGGAGGACGAGGAGGAGGACACAAGGAGGAGAGATGGAGGAGGAGGAGGAGGAGGAGGAGGAGGAGGAGGTTACGAGGAGGAAAGATGGAGGAGGTGTTGAGGCAGAGGAGGTGGCAAGGAGGAGGAGGAGATACCGACAGTGTTCCGACTTAAAAGTTTCCACTAAAAAAAAAAAAAGACGGTGACAAAGCCCCGACGAGGACTAGATGGAGGAGGACGACGACAACGACGTGATAAGGAGGTGGAGACACCATGCCAGTTCGCACTTCAAAGTTCCCATGAAAAAGGAAAGTGACGAAGTCGTGACAAGAAGGGTAGGAGGTGGAGGAGGAGAGATGGAGAGATGGAGGAGGAGGAGAGATGGACGGTGACGAGGAGCAGAGGAGGACAACAAGATACGGAGGAGGAGATACCATGCCGCTTCTGACTTCAAAGTTCCCATGAAAAAGGAAAGTGATGACGTTGTGACAAGAAGGATAAGAGGTGCAGAGATGGAGAGATGGAGAAGGAAAGATGGACGAGGAGGGATGGAGAAGGAAAGATGGACGAGGAGGGATGGAGAAGGAAAGATGGACGAGGAGGGATGGAGAAGGAAAGATGGAGGAGGAGGAGAGATGGACGACGACGAGGAGGAGAGGAGGAGGAGAGGAGGAGGACCCAAAGACGAGCTACCGTGACAGTTCGAACCACAGCTCCTTCGAAAAAAAGGAGTTAGTGATGAACCCGTGACAATTAGGGTGAGAGGTGGAGGAGAGATGGTGAGGAGGAGGAGGAGAGATGGAGATATGGAGGAGAGATGGCGATATGGAGGAGTGGAGAGTTGGAGGAGGAGAGATGGAGGAGGACGAGGGATGAAAGAGGAGGAGATACCAACGCTACTCGTAATCTGTGCCTTCCATTTCACAGCACGAATTTGGGTACACATAAGAAAAGGTGACGAGACCCTGACGAGGATGGATGGAGGAGGAGGAGGAGGAAAAAGGGGGGGAGGGGGAGCAGAGGGGGAGGAGAGGAGGAGGAAGTTGACGTGGAGGAAGAAGTGACGAGAGAGGGGAAGAGTTGCAGGAGGAGTCAGAGGATGATGAGAGATGGAGGAGGAAGTGACGAGGAGGAGGAGAGATTGAGGAGGACGCAATGGGAAGGAGGTGAGTTTCCAACTTTCCATACTATGGGAAAAGTCAGAAAGGACGACACCGTGATTAGGAGGAGAGATGAATGAGGACAAGGAGAAGAGGAGGAGGAGGAGGAGGAGGAGGAGGAGAGTTTGAGGGAGGGCAGGAGGGCTGGTGAAGACTCACCTTCAAGGATGCTCAAAGTCGGCGAAGGTCGATCCAGAGCTCGGATGGTGCGAACACAGGGGGAGGTCGGCGCTGCTCGTGGATGGTGACTGACGTCGCTGCTTCCTCAAACTCAACTGGAGGCGGCCTGCACCAACGACAAAAATGGTCCCTGCGAAGCCCTTGCAGTGCAACCTGCGATGGCCAAGAAACGGGCCCCCGAAGCCCTTCGAGTTTGGACCTACAACCAAAAAACGAAATACAAATTCGTTTCAGGTCGCGTTTGAGCGCGGCCTGTTAAATTTGTTTTTGGGCCACAACACCATTTTTGCTGGGGGGCGTGGCACAGCGCCGAATCTACACCCGCAGTTGTTTCTTTTTCTTGGGTTTCGGCTGGGCTCTCGTGCGCCGTGCAGGTCGTGCGCCGTGAGGTCAGGGTCCGTTTGAGTGCCAACAGAGTCCGAGAATCAGGGGATGATGTGGGCTTGCGTGTATGCTTTATCTCGACTGGAAAATGCCCCAGGCCCAGCTATAACGACCGTGACCGTATGTTCCACACTGGGGAGGAACTGTTATCGCTTTATCTAGACTGGAAGTTGCCCCAGGTACAGCTACAATGACCGTGACTGTCCGTTCTGCACTGGGGAGGAACTGTTATCGCTTTATCTAGACTGGAAGTTGCCCCAGGTACAGCTATAATCACCGTGACTGTACGTTCCGAACGGGGGAAGACAATAGGAACTCGGAAGGAAGTACCTCCGACTGCTTCAGGAGCGACTCCAAAAAAACTCTCTTAAAAAAACTCAAGAAAAAAAAAAGAAAAAAAAAGACAGTGTAAACTGGATTACCATCTCTTATCTCACATCAAGAAACGGTAGCGTGAAGTAGAACGCGAACCGCTGCCGCCCAGCAAAAGGGATTTTTCACTTTAAAACTGCTTCTCTGTGAAATGTGTGAATGCCGCGCCGACCCATGCTGCGACCACCAGTC